TTAAATTAATATATATATATATATATATATATATATATATATATATATATATATATATATATAATGCCCCAAGTTAACTACGTGCATCGTGGTGTATATCTCACTATTCCAAAAGGCAAAAGTTTGCTGCATGCATGAGACATATTTAATTATTATATGCTATTCTATGGATAAAAAGACTAGTATATATATATACACTTGAACAAAAAGTAGATTTTATACGATACCCACCAAGATCCTTGTATCACCAACATTCAACACGATATATACATAAATATACTAGATGCAAAGCTCCATGTGTCAGCATGGACCCAACAAAGTATATGAAATGATTACTTTTTGGATTTTACTTATTTGGTAATATTCTTTTTATTTACATCAGACTTAATTATCATCGAAAAAACATTTATGAAGTTCTTTACATTAAAATTTTAGAAAATACTAATCATTTATAATAAAAAGGTGTCTGTTTTTAATATAAATGATTAGTATTGTCAATTTGAATTTAAAATAAAAAGTGTATAGATTAACAAGCAAGGTAGAAATGTTATAATTTAATCTTCTCAATGTTGAATTAATTTTGAGTATAATAGCATGATTATGAAATTTTATATATATATATATATATATATAAGTCTATAACAACGTAATCTTGCACTCTCTTTTTTTTCCACTTGGTTTGATATTAGGTCATTTTAAAAAGAGAATTTATTTGTTTATCGTATTTTTTATTTTTTAAAAAAAGAATGTCATTTTTATCTTTTTTTTATTTGGCAATTCTTTAGGTCCAATTTTCTACTTCAGTTTTAAGACCATAAGATGAATGATATTTTGATACGTTATTTACATATTTTAAATTTTAGGCTCAAAATTTAAAAATCTTATTTACTTTGTCAAATATATGTCAGTCAAAATCAAATAAATAATTTGAAGTGAAGAAAATAACATATTCAGATATACATGTATATAATTTTCTTAACAAATAATTTTGTACCATCACACAAATATTATAAATAAAATTTCCATTATAAGAGTTTTCTTCTTGGCAATGTATGATTCAAATGTTGAAGATATATATATTTAGTGGGATCCGTTTATGATTCTAAATAAATATACTAGCACAAGCTATGGATGTTATCTACCCTATAAATAGATACATCATCATGAATTGCTTGATCTTCTCTTCCTCCAACAAATATATAGAGTAAAAGAAAGAAAAAAAATAAAAATATATATATATATATAGAAAATAATTTTTTTTGTATATACATAAATTTTGATATACTTTAGTATAGAGAAGTATAAGTAGTTCAAATCTCAGATGTGATAGTTGAATCCTCTTGTCGAAATTCAAGTTGTCTCGCCATTAGCTATCAATGAAGCGATAAATTCAAAATTGAAATATCGAGCTTAGGATTTTACCACATCTAGCCAAATTTGATTGATTTTAAAAATCTTCCCAATTTGATTTTATTTGGGATTTGATAATTTACATGTTTTAATTTGGTCGGCTCAATTGGTTACAACAAAGTTGAGATTCAAGTGAAGATGGGATTGCAAAGTAATATTATGATCCTATATTATAGTAATTCCAAAATATATTTTAAGACAAAAATAAAGAGATCATTTTAATTTTAAAAGATGTTGAAAGACATCATTAGAGGAAATCTTACATAATTAACATCACTATCTTTATCATGTTTAACTGTCGAAACATATAATTATTAAATGAAAGTATCCTTTTTAAGTGTTTAAATATATTATTAAGTAAAATAATCGAGATGCATCCCAACGCGATCACTATAACAAATAAAAAATATTTTCTATCGAAAATATGTCACATAATTTGATAGCGGTAGCGCAGATAACAACAACAATATGTTCTGTATATTTTCACAAGTGGATACGTATGCAATTCTATTCTCTTTTTTTCTATGAAGATGGAGAGATTATTTTTGATAGACTTCGACTCAAGTGAAATATAACAAAAAGTCAAAAAGTAATGAATAGATTTATAATTAACGAAATATATGTATTATTTGCATAGACCCTGCATGCATAAAATGTCTTTATCTTTAACTAAAAACAAAATGTGTATCTTAATACAAAATTGGCGTCTTTATCATTGATATTTAACTAAGATTGAGACAAAAATGATACTACTCATACTATTAGTATCTACATTTCCCTCCAATCTCTATCATCCACAATTTATTTATCTTTCTTGTATCGTCCTAATTTTATCGAATTTCTCTACAATCCTTTCTTGAAGTTGATTCTCTTCTAAAGAATATTTATTTTTGAAAAAAAAAACGTCATTTTTCTATATAAAATCTCATCGTCAATATTCGAAGATAAAGCATGACGTTGGTGACCTTTTTTTTTTCTTTCACCAAATTTTCCAGGCTCAATGGATGCAATATGACAAAAGGGGGGACTACTAAAGAACAATAATAAGGTAAAAGAGGGAAATAATGTTGCACTTATTGAATGCTTTGTGTGGTTTTATTGTACGTTATGGAATATTGGATAATATTGATCTATCATCTTGATTGATTGAGTAAAAAAGAAAAAAAGATAAGGATATTAAAATGATGTTATCATAAGTCAAAAGAAAAAAAAAACAGTCCACTACCCTACCCTACACTAAGCTCCCGCTATACGTGAAAAATATGGAGAAGAACATATTATTATACTCAGTTTTATGAAATATAATTTTCACAATTCAAACTTATGATCTTCTAGTCACATGACAACAGTTTTACTAGAAGAATTATACTAATAGCTAGGGTCTGTACTAAGCCTTGTAAGTTGTTTTAAATCACAGTTCAAACTTGTGACCCATTAGTCACATGACAACAACTCTAATAGAACAATCATGTTACTCGTTCGGGTCAATTGTACTCAGTCTTAGTTTTCACGATTCAAACTTATGACTTTCTAACCATATGACAACAACCTTTACCAGTTGTGTTGATGTTATTATTAGTGTACAATATAAATTTTAAAAAATGGGGAGTCTTTTGTGGTTGAAATGAGAATCTAATTGATATGAGTATCCCATGAAGTCCACTTTGACCAATGAGATTCATAATTTAGGGGGCCACACAACATACTTTATTTTTAATTTTGCAATCAATTTCCAGCTGGAGAGAACTTTGAAAGTGAATGAATTATTGAAATGGATAGTGTTATTGGTAACATGGGATATTATAGGAAAGAAAAAAAGAAAAGAAAAATCTCTAAGGTTGTTATAAAATGTAAACAAATCAATGATTAGTTATTTTGGAGTTTGACAGCTCCTTCATTCCCACTAAGTTCAGTTATGTGAATGAAACTGTCTTGAATTTGGTTTATAACTTACTTTGTGAGTGTATGGACCATTTTTTGCTGCATAATTGTAGAAAGATGAAAGTGAAAGAACAGATTATTCTACATAGATATTTACATACATAACACTTCCTCTGATTCAACCTACCTTTAACTTTTTGTCATATCATGAACTTGTGCATCAAAATTATGGATATGCAAGGACCAAGTGTAATAACTCACTCCAATCAAAATTTCATGTGTAAAAAAACAGCCTTTTTTAAAAGTAAAGAGTGGTGTTTCCGCACACCTCGACTAGTGCTACAGGGTATGTGCTACATCCTACTAGCACAGCTACACCAGGTGACTCTGTCTCCCAAAAGTTAACCACATGGAAAGAAATCATCTAGTGTTCTCAACGAGTCAACTAGGTAGATTCAAAAATATCAAGAACCTTTCAAAGACCATGAGTTACCTAATCATAATCATTTGTATTTCCAAGTTAATGTACCTTACACTAAAGTTTTCAAGAGTTTATAACTAGAGACTCAAACATTAGAGAGAGTTGCTGCATCTAGTTATGGTGTAAAGGCATCTCCAAGGGAACTGAGTATGAGGATCATATCAATAAGGATTTCAGAATACATAACATTGGGTTCCAATACATGCTCTCAAGTACACAAACCAGAAAATACTCCGTAGATTTAACAAGCAATTTTCGCAACCATAAATGTAACAACTATGGGATATATGACTTTGAAATACAAGAAGAAAGCTCACTCGACTGGAAATGTAAGTGTTGTAAGTTTACCAGCTAGGCCCAGAGATTGTTATTCTTATTTTATCAAGACCAGCTAGGCCCAATGATTAATTTCATAAAAGAAGTACAGTGCATAACTGCAGATTACATCGATTAATGTCATTCCTATACCTATAATGTAAATTCAATGAACAAGTATCATTGTATAGAATCTTCTAAGTATTACTCAAAGTGGAGTATCTTATAAACTGATTCAAATATATTGGTCAGGCCTACATGATGTGGACGTAAGAACAAAATGGTGACCTCAAATGTTACAAAGGTATCCACCACCACCACCAAACCCCAACCCTCATCCCACCCACCAAAACAAAAAGAAACAACCCAGTAAGTTTAAGAAATCGGGAATACCAGGGAGGCTAAATCAGGTCCTTATCAAGTTTTGAAATAACTTAAGAATTAGAATACAGTTGGACCAACTGGTACCCGGAAAATTGAACTGGCCCATGCTTCATTTCATCACAACTGCACCAATCTTCATAACCTCTGTTGATATGTATCCTCAAGAATAGGAACCCCTGGTCCATATATCAAACGGCAACGATCATGGAAAGAACCAACTAGTTTAGAGACCACCTCCTTAAAGAACATGTTTGCTACCTGCGAAGGAGTATTGCACCAATGCCTTAAAATAAGTTAAGATACAACATAATCAATCAACTGAAAAACAAAAGGAAAAGATAAAAAACAAGGTTTCTAAAACTTCCCGACAAAATTTTTAAATAGAAATTACAGCTGAGCAAAATCAACTTCAAAGTAAATTCAACACCCTCAATTTCTCTTTGTTGAGGTGCCTCTAGTTGACCAAATCCCATATCCAGCCTAAACAGTTCAACTTTTATTTTTGATAACCAATAGGTAAAAAAAATATTAAAATATAGGAGTATTTATAAAGCACAATAATATCTAGGTAGCTCAGGTTACCACGTTGGAAGAGAAGACTGGGTAAATTTATCATGGATATTTGAAATAAAAATAAAAAGATCTGATACTTAGCTAGAACATCATCCAATTTACAACATCAAGAGCTAAATTTCTTAAAATTCACTCCCAAAAGAAAGAATGGGACAAACAGCTAGAGGGAAAAAGGAGGGATGCATCTGCTTCATACCATCAAGAAAACTGAAAATGGCTTAACCACCCAAAAACATGAGGAAATTAAAGCCAGATAGATCACCTCTTTAGGATAAAACACACGATGTTGGGTTCTACTATTGTAACTGCTACGACTCCTTAGGTGAGAAAGCCACCTTATTATAATGGCGAACAAGAACTCTTGCTTAAATATACCACTAATCCTGATGAAATGTGCATCTGCCCCATGGTTTAACTCACAGTGGATTCCGTGCCTGAATGTAATGTGCAGTTTTGCATTCAGTTTGATTAGATGCATGCTGTCCTATATCCTACACCTAGAGCCTTACTTTCTTAAAGAAGGCATCTGTCCATTCAATTGGAATTTCATTTCTAGAGGTACACTCCAGTTAGCAATATGCAACTTATCTTCCTGAAAGTCAAGTGCCACATTGGATACACATACAGTTATCTTTCTAAAGCTACTTTCATTTCTACTCTTTGCTTCTGGTTCAATAGCATGGAGACTCATGCAAAGGGTTAACAGCAAATGGGCAAGTCAAGCAGTAAAGCAGTAAAGTGTAAAGCGGTAAATCCACTTAGAAAGGCACCAGTAGCTATTCACCCACCAACAATTGCGTCAAGGCAAGAGTGGAAGGAGAAAAGAAAGAAGTATCAAGCCGAGTGTTGTTCGTTGTGAGACTCAGGTAGTTGCTCTAGTTCTGGACAAGAAGGTAAAGTATGGCTTAGGGCTTTTGAATTTGAATGGACTTGCAACCGAGGGAAAACAGAAATAGAATAGCTATAGGTCACAGGTTCAAGTTGCGGAATCAGATAAAGATGCTTGCATCAGGTTAGGTTGCCTACATTACACCCCCTTGGGGGGCGGCCCTTCCCCAAACCCTCAGTGTATGCAGAATGCTTCGTACGCCAGGCTGCAATTCTGCTACTGTAGTAGCAATAGACGAGTCACAAGCTGTGAAATATAATTATAGGAGGTTAAAAGATAGAAGCTTTTAGTGGATGATATTCACATAGAAACAAGAGTGTGAAAACTGAAATGTGATTTCCTCAATGGTATTCAAAATAGTACAACAAGCAAATGTTATTTCTCAACCAGACTCTTATGGTTTGATTCCACAATGCATCAAGCATGTGTAAACAATTAACTGAAGAGCAAATCTGAAGTACGGGGACGGCAGATCTACCTTGATACAATAAGCTAATGACCTAGAGTACCTCCGTCTAGCAAACCCCAAAAGTTTGCATCTGTGTAATTAGTATCTTCAAGATATTCTTACTACTCACATGGTATTATAGCTAAGACATTAAGAACTTACTATATTAAAAATAGAAAATTTACCTGTCGGTATAATGGAGATTGGAACTTAAAATCTACCAAAAAGTTAAGGTTACAAGATCCTGGAGTTGGTCCTGGGTTGAACTCCCAGACGTTAATCAAATGATCAAAAAGGCCAGTATCAGTCGCAGTTGTCTGCAATAATGAAAAAATTGTGCATGAGAGAAGGTAAATTAAGATATTTCAGGATGGTCAAAGAGGTAAAAGCAACCAAAATTATCTGATGAGAAGAAGGACCTCTCATTAATAATACATATATCGTAAAGCTTTGGAATCTAATAAACACATCAAGTATGTTTAAATTGACTTATTTAAGACATGAACAGATAGTAACTTTTCATCCACGAACCAAAAAAAAAAGTATGGACCAAGTCAAAAATCATCGTGACCTTCAACCACATTAATTAAAATTCCTATCATCAATAGGGAGAGTTGTGGGTTAACTCAACCAAAGGCAGTCATCAGATAGGTAGGTTGATCTCCACTTCTGGATTCCTATTAAGGGAAAGAGTAAGACTTCTCTATTCCTACGATAGGACGTGTCTTTTAAGGCAGATTGGCAGATTATTGTTCTCTAAACCTTGTAGATATCCCTCCACTGGGTAACCTTCACTAAAATTAAAAAAAAAAACTGTTAGATATGGGCCTAATGTAAGCTTACAAAGAACGCCTCAACCTTGACCTAAATAGTTGGAGTCCCCTACATGTATATTCTGCTATATATGCTTGTTTTTTTCACTAGATTCGCATTAAATAAAAAATATTGTAAGTTGTTTGAGACAACTTCCCTTCCTCATCTAAATATGAATGAGAAATATACCTTTTTATGGAAATTATGTTTGTTAGATAATGCTTATCCCAGAAAACAATCAGAAGAAGCTATAATTGTTTGTAAAGAGATATTGGATGAAGTTGTAAAATATTTAGCTTTTAGACTCTTTCCCATCATGGTGCAACTTCTCAAGAAACATCCAGTGTCATCATTGTATGTGTGCTTTTCAATACACTCAGCTTCAATCAGAAGGCATATCTGACAACTAACTAATTCTCAAATGGTACATTACACTTCAGTAATTGCACGATTTTGAGAAGGGCTTAAAAAATGAGATACCATTGATCTTACTAAGATTCAGGACATATCAATTCACAACACTCATATAGAGTAACAATTGTAAGAAAAACAGTAACTGAAACATTTTACAAACACATAAAAATAAATTGAACAAAATTTGTTATGCTTAATTGAAAGAAATTTAAAAACTTAATAAATACTATATTTTTTTATAGGTAAAAGTTAGTAAATACAATAGATATATGACGAATGCTACCTTGATGTATTTTGGTTTGTTTAGTTCCACATGAGACACATAACTCTCAACAAGAAATTTGAAGCCAATTTCTAGCTCAGCATCAAAAGATCCATCTGGATGTCGTTTTATGATCTCTGATCTTTGACACCAGGGGAGGAAATCTTCATACAAGTCAACAGCAGCAACCACAGCATATAACTGCTCCGGAGAGTATCTAATAAAAACAACACGAGTTAGTCTGTAAGTTGTACAATATTCCTCATAGCAGTTGGGGGTTGAATTACCTTACAGGAGAATTCAGCATGTATCCCAAGTAAACGAAAATTAAACTCAGTTTGTTTGCAAATTTCAAAACAAAAAAAGATTGAGCATGCAGAATCAGTTATTAACTTGCACTGAAAATTTTACTGCTAAATTGCATACGTTTTCTTGTGTTTAACTTAGCAAGTAGAAGTGGAAGTACAGAATGTATATCATTTCTCTTATAGCTGAAGCAAAAGTTCCCAGCAAAGGCCGAAGAGTGATCACCAACAGTTCTACTCTTTTAGCCCTTAAAAAGTTTGAAGTGCATCCTCAATCAACTCTTACACGGGATGAGACAATGAGTGGGAAAGAGTCAGAAACAAATAAGCCATATGTTTTTACATTGCAGAACAAGACATTTATTGGATTTGTTCATCAATCTCAGAGGTTCTAGTTTGACAATGTCAGGAAGAACTCTTGAAGTTATAGCATAAAGGTGAAAACTGCACCAGTAGCAAAAGACGGATGCAATATTGCCCCTGCAATTATTTGGTGGACAATATGGAAGGAGAGTAACTCAAAGTTTTTTTTTAAAGATGCAAGTAGCAATTTACAAAAGCTTAAGATTAATTGTATTCTTCTCTTTAGTTTCTTTTGTATAAATCTGAATATATAGATGATTCTGAGGCAATCATAGATATATAAGGTTCCTTGTAAGATGAGCAAGGTTGTTTTGTGTAGTTTATTTGCCTATTTCTTTTTTGGGAATCTCATGTAGTCACTCCATTTTGGTTACTAGTGCAATTTATGTGCAGATGTCTATATATACACAGGATAATAGGAATATGTTATCTTTTTTCAAAAAAAAAACTCAAACACCCTAAAGTAACTTCTCATTTGAAGTCACACCAATGACATATTAGCCACTTTTACAATATTCACCATGATATTACGATGTAAAGATCACGCAACTAACCTGGATTTTGCTCATGACAAGAAACAGAAGTACATGAAAATGTTTTTGACTTGGAACTTACCCCAAGACACGCTTCTCCTCGTGTATTTTGGTTAACATACTCCCCTCTTCCCCATCACCACAACCCAAAAATCCTCTGGTTTGAATTACAGGACCAATTCTATAAACTTCTCCACGGGGCGAAGGCGTAATCACCTTGCTACCAGCATCACAACCAGGAGAAACTGAAGGAACACCAACAATGTTACTCAAGCATCGAACTTGAACATGATTTCCCAATCCCCAACCATTATTATCAATCCCCAACCTCTGTTTCAACACATTCCGATGCGTAACTAAACGCTTAATCGCCTTTGATGTTGAAAGAAACGACGGCATTGCAGAACAAATTACAAACAATTCAAAAGTTCCCCTTTTTTTCCTTCCCTCTTCTCGTGGAATGGAACTACAATTGAAGGAAGACCCAATAGGGAAGGAAAAAAAATCGCTGATGATGATGAATGAATTTTTGACCTAATCTGTAAAAATTAAATAATAATTGAGCTGAGCAAAATCAAAAATTGGGGGAAAAAGGAAATTGAAATTCGAATTGATAACGTAACCCTAATTGAAGATGAATACGTACCTGGAAAATAATGGAATAGGGAAATTTAAGCGGAGAGACAAAGAAAGCTGTAGTTTTTTTTTGTGTGTATTTATACTTGTCCGTCGTCCACCTGTGATTTTTTTGGAGATTTTTCATTACAATATAATATTACCCGCTCTATTTTACGTGTTCGAGACTCGGAGATTGAGTTGTTGCAACATATGATATTTTAGGAGGAAAGATAGAAATTGATTTCTCTAGCCAAAGTTTTTTCCGCCAAGACCATTATATTAGATTTGCCTAGAGAAATGTAAATTACAAGTCACTGTAAAATCGTTAATTAATTTCATCCATAAAAAACCAATTAACTTCGTCCACAGAAAATAGCAATTGTGAATTCGCTCGAATTTTAGAAATATATATCTATTTATCCACTTTATTTACGAATGAAAGACTCATAGTCAAATATCATTTGGACATTTAGTTTATAAAATATATATACAGATGGATAATAATCATGTATATTTTATACTAGTAATACATATATTGTAGATCTCTCTACATTGTATATAATATTGATAAAAACCTTAAACTTAAAACATATATATACATTTTATATGTCGTAAAGTAATTCATCAAAGCATAAGAATAATTGGAATTAGTACATTAATTATAGTAGTAGATTTTGAAGCTATGTACAACGTATTTATTAGTTAGCTTGAAAATTAGACTTATTATTGTCCCAAAGTTCGAACTGTAACTATTTAACATGATTTGTTTTTCACATATGCAGCTGTCAATTTAAGGTAATATAAATTGAACTTCATGCCATTGTTTAAAGTTCAAACTGTATTTTGTTGTAATGTTTACAAAATTATCCATTGGCAACCCATCGATAATATTGACACTGTTTTTAGCTCATAATTTTCAAAGTCTATTACAATATAATAAAATGATAGTATATATTTCCATCCCCATTTTCGATGGCCAACACTCCAAAAAAATGACTAAATCAGGAAAGGAATGTAAGAACATCAAAGATAGAGCAAGCATTTTTTTACAACATTTTTCCAAAATCTGTACAAAGATTAGAGGTTCAATAGCTACTCGAATTTCCAACATACAGATAAATAAAGAGATACAAAACCATAACTAGTTCCGGGCAGAAACTATAGCAAAATCTTGACGCAATGTCTTCCCACCTGCTGTTTTTACATTCCATACGTCGTTCTTGGTTAAAGAGGTTAGTATCATCATAGTCATCGCTGAAAGCCAAAGACTTAACCCGTCGACTCCAGAAGATCCTTAAGATTATCAGTCATTGAGGATGTAGAAAATGGAACTACCTGGATGATCCATTTAAAGTATAGTTAGTTGGCAATCTAATGTGTGCCACTGAGTAATTTAGAGCTGCAAATTAGCTGGTCCAACTCATTACTTGATCACTGCTTGAACCAGCACCTAACGGAATTTTTGTCCGTTTTGTGCAATGCTCCCTGCTGCTAGACTGTCCCCCTTCAAGATCTTCATCGATAAAGTTCTGATCCATCACCTCTGAAATGTTACAAGAGTATTATTAATGACTTGATATAGATATCGAATAATTAGTAACACATGCTGATTGAAAATCTCAGCTACCTGTAACGTAATCTTTATGGCACAAAACGGGAGATTGATTCTGTTTCACTAAGGTAGTGTTTCCCTGTAGATCTGAATTTACTCTCGTTTGATGTCGGCCTGCAGATTTGAAATGCTTAATCCAAGGGCTTGCCAATACAGCAGCAGATCCGCTTGTTTTATTTAACTGAGGCTGGTCTTTCTTGAAGTCAATTTTGGTCCAACAACCATCTTGAAACACCTTATACTGTGATTCACAAATGAAAGGTGCGAGATCAGATTCTGAGTGAGGACGGAAAAAGCCAATTTTAAATAGCAGGGTAACGTTCAGTCGAATCGAATCAAACCTGGCCCGAAGGATTGACATGCTTTTGTCTTGATGATTTATGCCTTGAAAAGCCATCATTTTGGGAATGCCGACCAACTACATCTAAGGAACCATATAAGTGGTCGACAAATGATGCTTCCATAGACTTGAGATACAAACTATGCTTCTCGTCAGTCCATTCCATGCTCTTCGGTCGAGAATCCTGAGATGGGATTTTCTTAATGAGAAACTGATATCTAAATGAAACACATTTTCCAGCCCTGCCTGTTAATTTTGAAACATTGCCTTCTGGCTTCTACTATCAATACACAAAAGTTGTTTCCTTAGAACCTGGAAAACGAGGGATGGGGCACTGGATATCCTTATATTGAATACAACAACTACGCTTCAGTACCAAACAAATAGTTACATGAAAACTCATTTCATAAGATCATCACCTTATTTTGAATGATCACATAAAATTAACCATGCAATTAGCCAAAAAAAAAAAGACACATAAAACATGATAATTATGGGGGGTTGGAGAAGCATATGCTTCACATTATTTCAACAAATTCACTCTCAGTCACAATACACGATAAGAACACAATAATATCATCATCAACAAGAAAAAAAAAACAAGGTAACCACACAAGAAATGCAGTTATAGGTTTTAAAATAAGAAGGAAATATTGGTACAGTGACTAGACTACAAGGTTCTATTTTACGCAGTCTTACCCTATATTTCTGCAACTGCAAATAAACTTTTTAACAAATAATCCTCGTTAAATGATACGCACTTTCACCGGGATACCTACCACCATCCGGTACCAGGTAACTCTTTTACTACTAAGATTTGAACACCAGGTAACTCTTTTACTACTAAGATTTGAACACGAGACCTCATGATACACATCCAACTTCATCGACCACTAGGCCACACCTCTTGTGCATATGTACTTTCATTTTGAATTGTTGATTCTTAAGGATAATTACTTAAGATGTTTAGCCTATAAATAGATTGTAAAACTGTTGAACATGCATAATCCAAGTCCTTGTACAAATATCTTAAAATTCACTTAGCTAAATCAAAACACAGATTTACCCCCAAAAATGGCTAGAAAAAAAAATTGATCAAACTAAAAACTACATAAACCATCAACTTGCAAAAACTATTCACAATATGTGTACAGTTCATAAAAAACACAAAACCTAAAAAAAAAAAAGGCTCCTTCATACAGATGATTAAACAAACTATATATATATATACCTCGAGAGTCAAAATTTCATCAATTTTATGATCCAAATTGTTCGTTGATGTTTTTCCTTTGGAATCCGATAGAGTTTCCATTATTTTATCTTCAAAAATAAACTATAGGTTAAGAGTATAATAATTGGTTATATGAATAAATTGGGAATTTATATTTGTGAGAAGAGAATGAAATTTGAGAAGAGAAAAAGGGAAGAACTTTTAGTAGAAAGAGAGGCTCAGCTGTCACCGCTTTTTCCATGTGTCAAGTGAACTCGTCAACTCGTAGTTTACACAGATATTTTCTATTAAACCCTATTTACGAAAATATCCGGTCCACCACAAAATATCTTTTGTCTTCATTCAATTCCGTTGCCCATAGTATATGCCAACTAAATAATTCTCAATTTTCGGTGTTCGATATTTTTATTAGAATTAAATTATCTTCGAAATGTAATATGTTCAATTATCTTGTCACAATTTCTTATCTTATTGACCATGTGATTTGTTTTGTTTTTTGCTACCAAAAAACAACATTTATTTAGCCTTTAGTGAATATAACTGCTTAAACAGTCCTTTTCCTAGCAGTAGACCTGATATTTGAATATGAAATTAAAATTATAAATTATATGATTTGTTGCTTTTCCAAATACCAGTATTTATTTAACTTTTTAATATATAATAATATACTTATATATATGAAGTTTGGGGAAATAGAAATATACGCACATTTTGTTTGAATCAAAATTATTGATTATGTAACTTTATATGTCAAGAATTATACATATATTAAAATAGTCTTTGATCGTTTAGTAAAATCGCGATCCACTTTAGATGCTTAAATTAAGAAAAGTATTGATATAATTAATAATTAATTAATTAAAGCTACTTATAAAAGACAATTACACAGACTAAATTATTTATATAATAATTATTGTAACTTCACTTTGTAATCTCACCAAGATTTGTTTCTTCTTTATTTTCTCTCTTTGGACCCACCCTACCTCAAATATTTTAATTTTAAAAAACACAAGGCTTGATATTAATTTAGCAACTCTTTAAAGTGTAGGTTGATATTAATAAATTTATAATTAAGTCAGCAACAACAATAATAAAAATAAATGTACGCATACATTATTTTTATTTTATGGAGATAGAGAGACAATTAAGTCAATATCACTAAAACTTATTTTATTTATTTCTGTTAAATTTCTAGATAACGCGATAGATATTATTCGAATAAATTTCTTAAGTATTAAGATAAAAAGAAAAAAGTTAGAATTGTATTATTATGAATTTACGATACAATGAGTCTATGTCAGGCAAGATGTGAAAGGAATGAAAAGGATATTTCTATCTTAAGAATAAAATAATATCAGCTGTTGATTGTTGAATGGCTCCATAAATATCATCTATTTTATAACATTAGATATTTTTTTCCCTCCTTTTTTACTTTGATATTTTTCCCTCTTTTTTGACTTTTTAAGAATAGGATTTACAACTTTTTAATAAAGAAAAGAATTTGATTCATTTTTATTTGCTTAAAATAATAAATTTTGTATCGGTTTATCTTACCGAATAAACTAACGAACCGCTATATTATCAATTTCAATACTTCTATCTGAGCGTGTAAATGCTTACTGATAAATTTTACTTTAGCGCTTAAATTTTTTTTTCAGGTGTATAGGCTATAAAAAAAAAAAACAGGCTCTTGAAAAGATAGAGTAGTTTGTAAAACTGATAATTCAATATTTTAATATAATATATGATAGAAAATTAGAAGAAAAAGAAATTGAATATGTTATAGTGTATGTACATTAAGAATTATTGTTACATTAATCAGATGGGGGATAAGACCAAAAGTGGAAAATGGAAAAACTCAAAATTATGCAGAACTCAAAGCTTATAAGTTTATTCTCTTTTTGTACAAAAGAAATTTGCCGTTAACTTTGTCAAAATGAAGCAATTCGATTCATAGAATCTGTTGTTCTTCTTTCTGGTCCTCTTCTATTGTATCTTGCAAGTCTATTCGGCCTGCAATAAATAACGCAAAATCATCAATGGGTGTGTCTGGTACGAGAAAAGTCATTTTCTACAGAGATGTTCTTAACGAAGATGTGTTTTTCTGCCATTTGGTTACACACACATAAGCACCAAAACAAGAAAAAAGGGAACTTGTTTGAGATGCTTAGTACAAGTAGTCAAGGAACACGATGAGAAAGCCGTATGAACTGATCTGGGAGAAATGGAAGCATCATGATCTACCTAAAGCAAAGATATGATGGTGCATCTACGTGTTCCTTGGAGATATTCCTCAAATCAGTCCTTGGACTCATGTTTGTTCAAAAATCGATACCTATCTAGATCAAAGATCTAGAAAAACTAATAACAGCATTCTTTTCGTGGTTCAAATCTAATCTAACGTTGTGAAAATCATGAAACATGTACAGTGCAAGAAAAGTTACCATACCGAATAAGGACACTAATGAGGGAGGCTTTGAATGTCCATTTGAACTCATATCTATGCCTGCACAAATAAGACATGTGTTTGCATTTAGAGGTAGATATATAACATAAAAATGAGCAACAGAAAGGGATGTTCATTTTCTATGATCTCATGCATCCTTCTCTTCAGGGTACCCTTTTCCAACAGATCCACAACAATGCCTCATGTCCTAGCAAATAAATACTCAAATGTTTTGCCCAAACTAGCAAGAATTCAAAGTGTGGAGAAAATACTGCACCAACGCGTGCTTCTTAGATACAGTGTGAGCCAGAAAAAGTGTGTGCAAAGTGTATTTTTTGATCATACCCCTTCCGTACAGCAGAAAGATGGTGCAAAAAATTGTAGATTTAAAGCAGCAGCAGCACACCTGAAGTTTCAGCTGATTTGAGGATATCTGATTTCTTGAAAGTAAATCCAATAAAATTGGAATCTTTTGATGTCAGCATCTACATGATGGAACAAATCAAAATAAATACAAATCATTTCTTATATATTGCATCATTACTTCAATCATGTTTACAGCATTTGTTTAATATTCTCGCCGAACTGGTGGAATGTTTTTTTTTTCTGAGATTGGTTTGGTTCGTTACCTTTCGCCAGGGTCCGACTCTTGGTGTTGCTGATGAAGGATGTTCTACCTAAAATATGAAGTGAAAAATTAGCACAGTCAAAGAACAAAGCGAGCATGGTTTTCAGAAACAAGAGAAGCATCGTAATAAAGTAACACATGGAAAAACTGAGATGCAGAAAATTGGAAATTTTACTATAGCGGAATGCCAAGATTAAATGGTGAACTGAGTTGGAACGAAAATGCATGATTTGATAAGAAGTTGAAAAGAATCCACCGATATCCAATGGTACACAGAAATGCCCAAAATTCTAAGAACCTAGTTCACAAATGATGTCAAATTGACATACTGAAGTTACTATTGAAAGAGAGGTGGGGTGTTAGTCCATGATTTGTTGTAAAGGTAGAGAAAATAGAGACCCTCCAAAGGTGAAAGATATGGATATGAAGAAAATATCCAGCTTATATATGGCTTCGTGGATCATGAGGGTAAATAGTTGGTGTCGAGCAGTCCACAATGTCACGAAATTGGAGTGATCTTAACGACTACTACTCTAGACGTTTTCTAAATAAGTCAAATGAATACATCTGGGATTCGGTCTAAAAAAGTACTCACCTCAGGGAACTTCTCAAAATTTTGAGTATCTAACTCTCCAGTAACAATAGGTTTATAGGCAGCCTCCATTTCATAAAGCATGTCCCAGTTGACTCCTTTGAACCAAGGATGAGCCTGAAAACCAAGTGACAAATATTGGTATGAAGACACAAACATGGAGGCAGCATAACCACTCACCAAACTCACAATAGATCTTTGCACACAAAGTACAGTAATTTCATGAATGATAGATGAAAACTGTATGCATTCCATTAAGTGAAACAAATATTCTAGAATTAAGGAGCATATTCTGCAGATAGTTCCTGCACGGGCACTACTTCATTAGTAGATATTTACCTTTATTTCTTCCACTCCTGCGGTTCCCAATCTTGATTCGACATCGCACAATAAACGACAGATCAGATCCTTAGCCTCATTTGATACTTTTGGTTCGTCTGGGAATTTCAAGCATGTTCTCCAACTGATTATCTGATACAACAAAAACAAATGATATAACCCGAAAAATGAGTATATTTTGTAAATCTTAACAAGATGCTGAAGCACAATTTTTTAGAAACATTCCTTCTGAAAAAAACAAAGTCTACAAAAACAACCATTTCAATCCCAATAATTTTCCATTGCACTGAAAATAATTTCTTTTAGAATCTTGGTTTACAAAGTTCTGCCTGAATACGATTTGGACTTTGGAGATCAATTTAGAGGCACCGACTGTCCCTTATTTTCATCCTAACAACAAACAGAAGAGTTAAATACCTTGCGTGCTGTCATTCTTGGATGCTCTGAACAGAAGGGAGGATACCCAACAAGCATCTCATACAAGATTGCTCCTAATGACCACCAATCACATTCAATTCCATATCCTTTTTTCAACAAAACCTCCGGTGCCATGTAATCAAGAGTTCCAACGGTAGAATATGCCTACAGAAAATATTTCACACATAGGTCAATTGAATTAAGGACTGACCATGGATTGATCAATTAGAAAGGAACAAGAATAAAGAACATTATTTTTGCAAGCTGACACAATTATAACTTGAAAATACGGAAGTGCAGCACTAGAGTGTGAGTTCGTGAATACCAAGGCACGACGGTTGCGTTTCCACTGCTGTATTTGTTCTTTTGGCATTGGCCATGAAGCTCTATCACCACCAGAATGCCCTTCAGTCCCGTTAATAGACTCCGCATTCGTAAGGTCTTCATCTTCCAATAATATTGATGAGTATTTATTTTCCAGGGGTTTACATAAACCAAAATCTGAAAGCTTTAAATGGCCATTTCTATCTAGTATAAGGTTATCAGGTTTTATGTCCCTGAAAGAAGAATAATTTCTGAATCAGCTGCATGTTGGAGGATGATTGCTAAGCTTTATCCATATGCACATATAAAAGAACAGATAATAACAAAAAATTGTAGCACCAAATTGCAAGGCCAAGACACCTATATCCAATATGAGGAACTTATGCAAGATATTGATTCCTATGATGACAACTGTACAAAAATGAAGACAGGACAAAAGGCCTCAATTCAGCTTGAGGGAACTAACAATTCGCAACTATCAGAGTATAGGCAAATATATACAATTGTTAATC